TTCATAATAAATTTATTTCAAAGCCTAACAAAACTTGCCTCAAAGTCATGAAGATGAAGGGGAGAGAACTCTGTGCTAAGTACATAGGTGAATAAATACATGAATCCCTCAATTAACACGTATTCAATTAGTACATGCATAATACCTGATTAGTGAGGTAAAACAGTATTTTAACCATAGTAATTGAAAATTGATTTTTTTGTAGTTACTTAAAAATTTTCTAAAATTTGAAAACGTGTATTTTGTTATATTTGATTGTGTTTTTGATTATTGCTTTATTTTTTAATGTATGCATTAACTGCACGAGATTCGTTATAATAAATAAAAATTCTTTCAAAAATGAGATTCAAACTATTTAATCCATAGCTAGGGGAGAGAGACAGGGAGATGGATTCATACTGTTCCCAACAGCATTTGCATGTAAGTAAACAAAACACAACTGGAATTCAAACTTGACCGTTTTCTCATTCCAAGTAGCTAACCATTCTACAAGCCATACATTGCAAATATCTGAAGTTAAGTCTCCAAAAATGCTACAATAAATTTCAAGACACTCTGCACCACAAATGTCAATATTTTAAATTATTTCAGCTTGCTATTTCTTTAATCCTTTGAACCATGACCACTGCTTTACTGGCAATATAGAAATAACTCTTTTTTTTATATGTAGTGTGAAACACTGCGAATTTTGACTTAGGAGCCCAGGCAGAAGGGTTAAAATTGTTCAGGAACGCAGGGGTCAAAGGGTTAAAGCTGATTTTCTCATCAAATCTTGTATTTTTCTTTGATACACATTATTTAAAAAAAAAAATCTTGAGACAGATGGAATTCTGTGTTGATGCGGAGAAGATTCAGGCTTTTCTAGATATTTGACCACATTATCAAGAAATGCTTTATACACTTTGGAAAAAAAAAAAAAAAGGTGTGTTAAAAGGACAGTCATTTGAACTCCATCAGTAATGTTTATTTATAAGATTATAAAAATTTGTGGAGAAAATACAATGCAATATTTATTTATCTTACAACAATCTAAATGCACTGACATTTTACCATAATACATTTGACCAAAGTCTTGACTTAAAACTGCCTTTCTGATCAAAAGAGAACAAAATTCACAGAGAAGGAAAAACATTTAATTAGGTACCGTCACAGATTTGCAAAACCTTAAAATAAATTTTTAAAAATGAAAAATCTTTCTTGAAACTTTTAGTTTTAAGTTCAAACTAATAAATTTAATATTTGCAATAAGCAAAATACTTTCCAGTAATTCAAAAGCAATTTAAATTGACTGGAAAGAGTTTGTTTCTTGCTAAAAAAAATTTATTTTACTGCCATTTTTATAGTGTTTGTTGCAATGTAATTCTCTTTATTGAAAGATCTTCCAAAAATAAAATATACTTTTCTGGAATTTTATTTGAGGAAAATTAACTGATTTAAAGTATAATTAATCTGACTAGAGATAAATATTCACTTTAACTTTAAAATATCACAGAAAGTAGCTGTTTGTTTAAGGTGTTGACATAACATGTTCTACGGAGACTATCTGTAAAACAAAGAAAATAACGTGAGCCCCACTTTTATAAAATTTAAGTACTCAGTAATCTTAAAAATTTAGGAAAACATCCTCCCTCATCCAATGTTTTATTGAATTGTATATATTTAGGCTATAAATTTACTAGTTATCATACTTATTTTCTGATAATGTGTTTCGCCATTCTTATCTACAAAAATTGGCATGTTTATACCGATACAAAAAAAAAAAAAAATAAATTAAATAAAAATTCTAATATATTGGAAAAGCTTAGTAACAAATCAAACAGTTTTAATATTTCCATAGTAATTTCTGATGAGTTTTCCTCTTTAGCAAGTAGACTTTATGAATTAAATGCACTAGCAGTTTGGTGGCAAGGTTCTCATCATTTCAGTCGAAATGGCTAGATGTTTCTTATTTGTTGAACTATTGGGTTTGTGCTTTCAAGTCAACTTTGATCTTCAAAAATTTAAATAACATATCAATCATTACCTTCCATCTTAATTCATGCACATTTGTTTCTCTCTTCTTTTTCTCATTCTCTCACACTCAGTAATATTTTTTTGTCTTTGAGGCTTTATTGCCTTAATTGTAATGAAATGGTATTTAAAAAAAAAAGCGGGGAGGGAGAATTTTATTTGGGGGTCAAGTGACTAAATGAGAGAGAGAGAGTTTCCGTTTAGCTATATTAATGCCCACAGTTGGAATAGAGGAAGACAGTCTCTTTGAGTAGTTGCAGTGTTGCCTATTCATATTACCAGCCAAACATTGGGAGATATAGAGAGGTAGAGAATTGGTAGAGGGTGAAGAGGCAAAATGTTAGAGCCACATGGCAATTATCATCCAAAATTTTCTAGCAGCATTGGCATTGCCCGTGCTTGATCAAAAAATCGTACGACTCATACAGCAATCACTATCACTTCTAAAAAAATATTTTTGCCTTTTTCTTGCCTTTTTTAAAGGAGTGCCTTTGCCGTGCTGATTTTGCTACATGCCTTACTTCTTGCCTATCTCACACTGGGAAATTTTTTTTAATCTATACTAAACATTAAATCTGTTGAAAAAAAAAACTAAACAAAATGAACACAAAACAATCAGCTTTAAAAAAGGACTTAAAAGAACTGGAAAAACCAAATGAAAAAAAATGTTAACAACAAATACTTTTTTCACACCCAACCCAGTTCTGCAGAATCAGAATCAACGTTGAGTTTAAGCAAGCAAATAAGCCAATCGGAGTAAAGTGCCATGCAGATTTAAATTTTTCCCACTTGTGACGAATGCAGCTATTGATTTTTTTTTTGCATGATAGCATGCTACTTAACATTCGTGTCAGTCAGCTGTTGGCTCTCACGCTGACCAATACAAAATTGCTGCAAACTACATAAAAACTAAACTAAAAAAAAAATAAAAAAAATAAAAAATTGATTATTTACACTATTGATGGGAGTTGGGAAATGCAAAGTCAGTCTTGGCCTTCCCGCTAACTTGGAGCATGTGCATGTAAATTTTGGTGCAAATCTGTCAAAAATTGTGGGATGCATTAGATTACACACATACACACACATCCTGCCTTTTATAAATATATATATATATATATATATATATATATATATATATGTGTGTATGTGTGTATGTGTGTGTGTGTGATCTGGTTAATATTAAGTTTTTTGTATTGATTTCATCGGTATCCTTTCGTCTGACTGTTTAATTGACCAACTTATCTACTCTACTTATAATTATTTTAGGTACCTCCATGAGATCGCTAAAGAGCATAGCATTATGAAAAAGACAGCAAACTTGACGAAAACCAAATTTTATCGTCTGTTTATGTTATTATTAAGAGGAAAGATCAAAGTATTTTTGGGGTATTTTCTTACATTTCTTTTGAGTCAGCAAAATTGATCATTTTTTTCTCCATTTTAAAAAAACTGGAAATCTTACATTGAAATTATTTTAAATATCAATTATTTTTTCAAAACTTATTTTAAGAAAATCAGAAATTATGTTTATTTAAAATATTTTAAACCAAGCTTAGCTTAGCTTAGCTTAGCTTCTGCGCTGAAAAGATGTAATTTGAAAATAAAACAAAGCAGGTCATAAACTTTCGTCACTTGACAGGTGATGAATGACATATTGACAGGTTCCGCGAGGATAATTTTTTCTACGGAAGGAGAAAAGTGAACAAATTATTTACCTCGTTATTATTAAGGAAAACTTTCAGTGCCCTAATATTTTTTTTTTTTGTACTTAGCTTTCACCTTTACGATGCTTTATGGAAAATATATTATAAAGAAATTAAAATAAGACTTAAGAAATTAAATTTCATAAGAAAGGTATCTAATTAATGTATAGGTACCTTTCTTATGAAGTTTTATCAGAAGTGTACATAAAATACTATAATTGGGTTGGGTCCAATAAAAAAAAAAAAAACAAAAAAAACAAACAAAAAAAAAAAAAAACATGATTTGCATTCCTCAAAGCCTTGTGCTTTTAACTATTGTAATCACAAAACCTGATGTGTATTTTCATAAATTAGTTTTTTTTGGGTGGGGTGGGGGGGGTGGATAAATATAAAAACATTATTTATAATAATTTCGATCATCTGTGAATAGTTCCTGGAATTTCATTAACATTGACAATTATTTTTATTTTTGCAAGATTTTCCAAATTAATTTGTCATACCAAAAAAAATGTGCTAAAAATTGTTTATGTTATTTTGCTAGTTCTGGTGATAAAAAGAGAAATGTTCTAAAAGAAGGAAAATTTTTAAAAGTAATTAAAAAACTTTGGTCTTTCCTCTTAATAAGCATTTAGACGATAAAATTTTGTTTTCGCAAGGTTTAAAAATTTTTTCATCAAGCTATGCTCTTTTTTATTTAGCGAATTTGTTTGAAGTTTAATCATATATATATGTGTGTGTGTGTGTGTGTATAAAAAAAAGAGAGAGATTCTTAAGACATGCTATATTTATAAGTAAAAGTGTTCAATATCAAAGATAGAGCCAGTGTAAATCTAAAACTCTAGCCAACACTGAGTGGCAACAGGATGTTTCATTCTTGAATGCCATGTTCCCACCATTACACATTTTATATATATATATATATATATATATATATATTGTGTGCGTGAGCAAGTGATTCAGCTATAAAGAAATACTAAAGAATGACATCTCAGCTGTCAATGTCTCATACTAATGTCAGGTTTCACTGGATAGAAATAACTGGAGATATTTGTGTACCAGAGTGGTATCAGAAAATTTTGAAATCTGTTATATTGACCAGCTAAGAGACAAAAGACGATGACAAAAAGTGTCAGCAAATATTTCTGTAACTATGTCCAGAGATCCTCACTGTTGTACAATAGGTGGACTTGTATGCAATTCACTAGTGAGACTAAAGTGTCTCATACAGCACAAACATAAAAACTGAATGCGGTAGTTTGATACCCAAACATTGAAATCAACAGGAAGACCTGGTATTCCCAAATTGTCACCCATCTAGGTATTGACCAGCTTGATGTTGCTTAACTTCAGTGATCATATGGGAACTGGTGTTTCAATGTGATGTGGCCATAAGACTGTCCATTGGTTGAAGAGAAGTGGCTAAGTGTACGGGTCAAGCAAAAAGACAGTCAAAAGTCAAAGTAGTGAGTCACCAGTTACAGTTGAAATCAACCCTAGATTTTTTTTAAAAATTTAGATTATCATTCAACATAGCCATTGATCCCAAGTTTGGGCGTGCAGTACAACATATTTTATCTGACCATCATTTACAAGATTTTAATTTTCTCCTAAAATTGTTTAACTTGGAAAGGACCAATGTTTCAATATAGCTGTAAGTTCAAGGAGACTGAATAGTTCAACAAGTATCTAAAGGGTGAACATATATTTTGAAGGTGCTGTAATAAATCCGTTTCTACAAAACCATGCACCACAAACGTCAATACCTGTTTCAGATGAGTTTTTTTTAATAAATTTTAATCCTAATAATTAAATTACAAGGGAAAGACCTAAAGAAAATGTCAATTTTCATATTTCTAAATAAAAGAAAGGGAACATCTGTAGAAAATGTACTCAATTTTAATATATTTCTAAATAAGTTATAAATAGAAAAGGAAATAAAAAAAAGAAAAGAAAAGCACTCACCATTAAACATCAGGTCGTTCTTCAAAGCCATTCAAGGATTTTAACTAGGTGGCATATTTCAACAAACCAAACATTCATTGCTGCAAAATTAGAAACCACTGAACAATGAGGCTAAATATTTTCCAATCACCCTAATGAGGTTACACCTTTGCCGAATTTGAATGATCGAAAATTTGGTCATTTTTAACTTAAAGCAAAACTCAACTGAACAATTTCAATACAACAAAGAAAATATAAGAGAAAGGTCTGGACAATAGCTGCTGTACAATATAGTAATTCATATTAAATTTACAACTAATTTGACATTATACTCTGGTTTTCAACTTTGTTTCCAGAAACTGGAACTAGAGGAAGATATCCTCTTCAAAATCAAAACTGAGTAAGTCAGATTGTTTTGTCTGTTTTATTTTTGCTGGAGTTGGACCAGTATTTTTTTTTTTTTTTTTTACATTAAATTATTTCAAGATCATGGGTGTGAGAAACACGAAGGAGAAGAGCAGGAACAAACTGGTTTATTGGTGAGACTTTCAGCTCACATTAAAGTAAATAAAAATGAGAGATGGGGCAAGGGGGATTAAAAAGTGATATGCACAGCTTCTAAAAAAAAAAAAAAAAAAAAAAAAAATCAAATTAAAAATATAAACACTTGTGGAAGGCAAGTTATTGCCTTGCCATCCTTTTATTCCCCTATTGCACTGAAAAAGTAAAACCAAATTTCTTTAATATATATACTTTATATTGACTAGTATGACCATCTTGGTTGTTATACTGTATTTTCATGTGTATAATACAAGACATTTTGAACAATAAAAAAGAAGGGGAGCCTATTATACAAGTACAGGTTTTTAGAATTTTTTTTTTTTTAAATACTCAGCATAAAATAAGCTCTTATTTGAAACAGCAAAATTTCAAATACTCAGTAAGCACAATAAACAAAGTAAAAAGTATAACAATTGTTTGCAAAAGGTATTTTATATTTTGAAAAAAAAAAAAAAAAAAAAAATTATCGACTACCCAGAGCTCACCCCGAGCAGACCTTAGTTTCTGGAAAAGCAAGCGTTATCTAGAGTGATCAACATTTTAAACAAATCCAGCATGCTCAATCCCTTGGCCACAATGACTTGTGACTTTGTGCTAGCACAGATATCAAAGGCCCCTAAAGATTCCATCTACCCAATTTCACTCACAAGGATAAGTTCAACCCTTGGTATATTTTTTGGACACTTTTTAAAGGTGCCAATAACATCGGGAAGTCTCCTTCCTGACAAATCGATTCTGGTGAGATTTGAACCAGAGTCTCATGGTCAAAATGCGAACATTCTAACCACTTGGCCACATGCCCATAATTTTGCTAATATTAAGCACATTTTCCCAGAAAATAAGCTTTGAAAATAAAATTAGAAGAAACATGCAATGGCAAAACATTTGGCCCATTTCTATTTTTAATGTGATGAAGATTAAATATTTTAGCGAAATGTGTGTGCAACATTGTAATTGATGATGCTACTTAAAAAAACAAACACAAACAAAAACAACAAACACTACGACGGGATGGGTGTACATATGTAATACTCAATGTAATTTGTATGCTTCTAGCTTCAGAAACACTGGGTTGTATTATACACAAGAAAATACGGTACTTGCATTTCAACCATTGCACCTCTGGCATTTTTCTGATTTTTTTTTTTTTGTTTGTTATAATCTTTAAGGAATTTCAAACTAAACTTTTCATCCACGGGGTGCACTTTCACATACGTTAATACCCAACAGTCTTACACAACTTTGTATCGCTTATAGGTTTCTTCTAAACCTGAATATATTACTTTTCAAGACTATCAAAACCCAATGATTTAACTCCAGGAACCAGGTAAGCAGAATTAAAACAATCTATCCTAGTAGATTGAATAACGGGGCTAAGTTCAAAATTATCAGACATTAATACAACAGCCACTTGAAGGAGGACAGAATATAGCAGTTGACAGAAATTAGTTGAATATAACTATTAAGATGAGCATGTTGGTCTGAATAAAGCATATAATAATTTCATATCACAAAAATGTCTTTAATCAGGCTATTTGTCATGTTCTGATCTCTACACTATTCTTTGATAAGTGAGTTGAGGAGAAGAGAAAGGAAAATAAAGGTGAAAAAGAAATTTCAACAAACACCACATTTCTTTTTTTTTTTTTTTTTATTATATGTGACAGGCATTTATTTTGTTTTCATCCTCCAACGAAGTTTTATTTGTTTTTTTTTAATTTTCTGTTCATTTTTTTTTATTTTTTTTTTGTCTTGTTTACTTTAAGTTTGTTTTTTTTTTTTTTAGGGGGGTTTTTTTTTTTTTTTAAAGATTTTTTTTCTTTTTTCTTTTTTTTTCTTTTTTTCTTTTTTTACAGATTACATCCACACCTCAGTGAGTGTAAATGCTAAATAATGTACAGAATGGATTTGAAACAAACCCTTCTTTATTACATTATGCCAATTTCCCAAATAAAAAAATAAAAATAAAGTGAAAAAAAAAAAAAAAAAAATAAAAATAAAAATAAAAAAAGACCTCAAACATTTTTAAGATTAAGCAAAGAGAAATGGGAAAGTTGGGAGACATGGTTGGGGGTGAATCCCTGAAATATTAAAAGAAAAGGAAATGGGGTGGGAAGAAGGAATACTTGGCCCTGGAAACCATGTAAAGCAAATAATGTACAAAATATTTCTTCACCATCCCACCACCCCTCCTTAAGAGATGAGAGTAATTTTTTTTTTGGGGGGGGGGGGGTTGGAGGAGTCTGAGGAGGAGAGAATTGTCAAAGCATATATCTCCCCATCACCCCCGTAATTGACAAAATTATCCTTTTATACCCACCCAAACTGAATTTAATTTTTAGTTGAATTCATTTTTTTTAGTTGAATTCATTTTTTTTTCTTTACATATTTTTTTAGTTTAAACTGAATTAAATTATCCTGTGTTGTGGAATTCTTTCAAACAAAACTAAAACAATAAATAGAGAACCTCTTCAAATCTACAAATCATTTTTGTGAGAGAGGAAGGGGATAATAATAATAAAAAAAAATGGAAAACAAAAAGAGAGAGAGAGAGAGAGAAAAATGGCTGCCCCCCCCCCTCCACACATACCTAGTCTGGGCGTGGGAGGGTTGGGTTTTCATTCCAGCACAGTAGCTCCTCTGCCGGCCATTCTCCCTCCACACTCAAACAGTCAGCATTATCAATAGTAATAAAAAAATATAGTAAACCTAGTTTTCTACTTTTGAATAGTGTGTATGTATGAGTGAACGAATATGTGTATGTGTGTATATTTGAGTGAGTGAAAGAGAAATATTCATCCATTCAAAAACATTATTAAGACCCAAAATGCCAACCAAAAGTTATTTGGAAATTTACCATTCCAAAGACACTCGTCAATCTCCTTGCAATAATCTGGGATATATTGGAGATATTATGTCACATGAATCCAAAATTTAACTTGCATTTCTTAATCCAAAATTCTTTTTTCCCTAAGCATCTATTTCCAATTTTTTTTTTTTTTTTTTTTGCAATTTTGCACTTGCAAATTAAATCCCAGATAATCAATATCTGAAAAAGCCAATCATCTACAACAGAAGTGGAAAATTGAAATGCTGAAAGCAAAAAAAACCACCAAAAATTATTCCGTCATGATGACAAATCCCAAACAATATTCATTTCGGCAAGGATATCTCCCCCCCCACCACAATTTCTCCTGGTGAAGACCATTCCTTTTGCATAAGGTGGATCCTTGGAAATGGTCAGGAAAGGAAGGTTTAAAAAAAAAAGGAAGGAAAAAATTCTAATTGCCTATTGCTTCAATCATTGGCAGGAGATGAGTATTGCCTTTGGTTCTGGTGCCAAGATTTAAAAATCCTTTTACTTTGCTTCCCCTGGCCACGTCAATTCAAGCAGAAAGGCACAAAATAACACTTTATTAAATTCAAAAGCATTTCTCAAAAGAAAAATCAAGATTATATTACAGTTTGTAGATTGGAGAAAACTCATTGTTGCTTAGCAAAGAGGAAGAGGAGGAAAAGTCTTTTCATGGCATAAAAATCACAAATGCGTTTCTTTTGGTTTGCTGACACATTAGATTTCATACTATATATATATATATATATATATATATATATATATATATATATATATATATATATATATATATATATATATATATATATTTTACTGGCCTTTGAAAGAGGTAATTTAAGCAGAGGCAATCTTAATACTCAAGAGTGTCACAGCGGTGGTAAAGGACAAGGCGCAGCATAAAGCCTAAGACAAGTACACTGTTGCAGAATTTTAATCAGGCTGAATGCACGCACGTGTGGACATATGCATGCACACAAGGTTAGGGGGAGGGTGTTGCTTCCATAGACACACACATTTTTATATATTACACACACA